TTCTGTATTTTTTTTTTTTTGTTCACTTTAAAATGTTTTTAATAGGCAAACAAATTTCACCCTTCATGTTCCTCCTGCGGGTGGGTCCACAGTTGGATGAGCCCACGTATCCGGTTTGGGCTGGGCCCAGCCGGGCCCCATGGGCAAAAGCCCGGTCACCAGGCGCTCGCTCACGGGCCCCAACCCCAGGCCTGGCTCCAGGGTGGGACCCCGGTATCCCTCCAGGCCGGGTACTCCGACTCTTTGATTGTATATCCATGAAAGATCCTCGACCGAAAGAACGAGATCGCGGATACAAGCGGCGGAAATGAGTTTCCTCCGTAGGGTGGCCGGGCTCAGCCTTAGAGATAGGGTGAGGAGCTCGGACATTCGGGAGGGACTCAGAGTAGAACCGCTGCTCCTCCGTATCAAAAGGAGTCAGTTGAGGTGGTTTGGGCATCTGGTCAGGGTGCCTCCTGGACGCCTCCCTGGGGAGGTGTTTCGGGCATGTCCTGCCGGCAGGAGGCCCCCGGGTCGACCCAGGACACGTTGGAGAGGTTACATCTCCAATCAAATCCGGGAACGCCTTGGGGTCCTGCCGGAGGAGCTGGTGGAGGTGGCCGGGGAGAAGACGGTCTGGAGCTCCCTAGTTGGGATGCTGCCCCCGCGACCCGGACCCGGATAAGCGGAGGAAGACGACGACTAATTTCACTACCAATCAAAACATACCTTGGGCAAATACAAAACATATTTAAGGGTTAATGTATCGAAATCATCCTGCTCTTATTTAAAAGAAAAGCAATTTACCCCTAAAATGTATAAATTTAAGGGTATGTGACAACAACTCTGATCATAACTTTTATTGAGAGGATTTCTAGGTGCAGCCAAGCTGTCTCAGGTCTCTGCTCTTTGGAGATGACGTGGTGCTGTTTGATTTGTCAGACTGTGATGTCCAGATTTTGCTGGAGCGCTTCGCAGCCGAGTGTGAAGCAGCTGGGATGAGAATGGTCTTGACTCGGAAAAGGGTAAAATGCCTTCTCCAGGTCAGGGATGAAGTCCTGCCTCAAATGGAGGAGTTAAATTTATCGTAGGGTCTTGTTCACGAGTGAGGGAAAGATGGAGGCGAAGATCAATAGGTGGATTGGTGCCGCTTCTACAGTGATGCGGGCGTTGTACTGATCTGTTTTGGTTGCTACCCTCACCTACGGTCACAAGCCTTGGGTTGTGGCCGAAATAATGAGATTGCCAATACAAGCAGCCAAAATTAAATTTCTCTGCAGGGTGTCTGGACTCTCCCTTAAAGATAGGCTGAGAAGCTTAGTCACCTGGGAGGGGCTTGGAATAGATCCGCTGCTCCTCCATGTCAAGAGGAGCCAGCTGAGGTGGCTCGGGCATCCTAACCAGATGCTTGAGCCTCCTCAGCCTCCTTGGTGAGGTTTTCAGGGCACGTCCAGCCAGGAGAAGACCTAAAGGAAGAACCAGGACACGCTGGAGGGACTGTGTTTCTTGGCTGACCAGGGAACGTCTTGGGATTGACCCTGGAGGAGCTGGCCCAAGTGGCTGAGGAGATGGAAGTCTGGGCGTCTCTGCTTAGGCTACTGTCCCCGCAACTTGACCCCGGATAAGCAGAAGAGAATGAATGGATGGAGTTTGTGATACTGGTCCATCCTATCACCCTGGAGGAATTTTCTCCCAATCTTATTCACAGAACTGTTTTAATTCTGAATGTAATTTTTGCCCCTTTGTCTCCTTCTTATTGTTGAAACATGACCTTTGACCTTTAATACAACTAAGTGATGCCTGCAGTGCTTTAGATGTAGTTCTGGCCTCTTTAGTTATTTTACTTCTTTAGAGGGGGTCATGATATTGATAATGGATGATTTAGCAAAGGGGCAATTACTCTTTCACATACAGCCAAGTGGAGTCAGATATTTTTGCCCTAATGAATAAAATTATCATTTGTATTTACTCAAATATTTTGTCTAATAGCTAAATTTGTTTGCCAGTCCAAAAATTTATGAGTATAAATAAACAAGAAAGCCGCAAAACATCTTAATCTATCTCAATCTATATCATTTTATTTATTACTTATTTTCTAATTTTTGTCATTTATATTAGCTCTTTTATTACATTTTTACTCATTTTAATCCAGTGTTTCCTCTGTGGGGGCCCTCTGCCCCGGGAGCGGTGGTCGACTGTAGCTTCCTGGGCGCTCTATAGGTGGGGGTCTATGCTCCCCCTCCACTGAGCGCCCTGACTTAGTGTGGAAGACCTGATGCTGCCGGGGCAGACGGCTCCTCTGATGGCGTTTCCTTGCGTTACCATACTTGGCTCATCTGGACTCAGCCTAATATAATTTTTACTTGTGTGAGTCTGTGTGTGCGTGTGCTTGTGCGTGTGCTTGCATATGTTTGTAAATGTTTTTAACCTGTTATGGGAATCTGGGGTCATTTTGTAAAGCACTTTGAATCACACTTTGTTTGAAAAGCGCTTTAGAAATAAAATTTGATTGATTGATTGATTGATTGATTAATCTTCACCTTTGCTGCAAGTCTTTGCTCATCACCAACAAATATGATTATCAAAACGTATTAATTTGCTAAAAACTTGTCTATAATTTTGTTTTCAAAGTCCTCCCTCCATTTTGTTACCATCAGACATGAGACCCCAGGCATCTTCCACTATAGCCCTTTACATCAACCACAAGGATTCATTTTAGGCATGGAGTAATTTCTTGCACCAGCTAATGCCTGGTTGGAGATCTTCAGCTGAGAAAGTTTTAGTCTGAGTTAGTCCTTTAAAAAGTCGTCGTCGTCGTCTTCCTCCTCTTATCCGGGTCACGGGGGCAGCATCCCAGCTAGGGAGCTCCAGACCGTCCTCTCCCCGGCCACCTCCACCAGCTCCTCCGGCAGGACCCCAATGCGTTCCCGGACCTGATTGGAGATGTAACCTCTCCAACGTGTCCTGGGTCGACCCGGGGGCCTCCTGCCGGCAGAACATGCCCGAAACACCTCCCCAGGGAGGCGTCCAGGATGCATCCTGACCAGATGCCCAAACCACCTCAACTGACTCCTTTCGATCCGGAGGAGCAGCGGTTCTACTCCGAGTCCCTCCCGAATGTCCGAGCTCCTCACCCTATCTCTAAGGCTGAACCCGGCCACCCTACGGAGGAAACTCATTTCGGCCGCTTGTATCCGCAATCCTTTAAAAAGCACCATTAAATCAGCACTCAGAGGGAGGTTCATCTTGCATCGTTGCAGAATCTGTTGCATTTTCCTCCACGGTGGACAATTTGCTGATAATTATAGGGAGCCAGAGGCTTTGTGTTTGGGAGAGAAGCTGTGCTGTAGGAGAGATGTGCATTGCTGCAGCACCTATAGTCCCAACAATTTAACATTACAGTTGTAATTAATTCAGGACGGTGCTGTTTCATCTCAAGATGAAACCACATTTACAGAGTTTTTAGTCAATGACATTTCATTTGGAAAATGTGGAGATAAGTTTCTATAAATCAGTTATACACTAAATCAAACCCTAGAAAATTTGCACATGTAGAGTTTTAACTGTAGTAAAATTTAATGGCAAAAACTGTAAGAGGAAGTGATCCGATTTTTTAATAGAATTCAAATGTTTATTCTAGAGGAAGGCTGGTGGGTGAATGTTGAGTTGTGCTTTTGTTTGTGACAGGAACTGACATGTGCTGCAATCTTCCTGTGTGACACACACAACACCACAGCACCAGGTGGACAAACTGCAGAAATGAAGACTTTTAACAAGAGTACAAGGGAGAATGATCAGGGTATCCGCGGGTCCTTAAAAAGTCTTAAATTTGCTTTTCCAAATTTAAGGCCTTAAAAATCCTTAAAAATGACAAATAGTCCTTAAATAGTTTCCAAAGGTCTTAAATTACCAAAGACCCAATAAACAAAATAGCTTAAATTTGGTCAAAGTGGCCTTAAAAAGGTCTTAAAGTCTTCAATTTGGCTCCCTTAAACCTGCAGATACGCTGATGATACACTGAGTACTACAAATCAAGCCTGCGTGGGCTTTCTGTCAATAAACCTCAGCCATTTTAGACCGAAGATGGAAATCTGTAGACAACGGATTAAAGTCTTATTTCATTAATTTACACTTTCATTAGTCGAATATTAAAACAATTACCTGGCCACGAACATGTACCATTCTTTTGATCATTTGGCAGGGCCGCACGGAAAAAACAAAAACATCTTTGATTGGAATTTTATTGTGGCTACAAGTTCAGTTACCATCTTAGGTGCTGATTTTCTCTGTGCACATGGACTTCTAGTTGCCAACAGGAACCTGTGACACGGTCAAAATGGCGGTGGTGGCCACCTCCCATTTTGGCACAAAACTTATAATTGGAGGAGCCTATGGACAGGGGCGGCGTTAGGCCCGGCTACTTGGGCTGAAGCCCCGGATCTTTCATGATAAGCCCCGGATCTAAATCGCGGAAGTAACATGCAGTACCAAAGTCCAACAGAGAGAGCGCAGCTGGCAGTAGTTTGTAAAGTCCCATTTAGTCGTCACACACAGGTGTGTGGTGAAATTTATTCTCCGCATTTGACCCATCCCCTGGGTCAAAATAGCTCGGGAACTATTTGGTGGTTTAACCCCCCAATCTAACCCCTTAATGCTGAGTGTCAAGCAGGGAGGCATTGGGTCCCATTTTTCTCAAAGTCTTTGGTATGACCCGACCAGGAGTCGAACCCCTGATCTCCCGGCGGACACTCTACCACTAGGCCACTCAGTCGGTATACAGCCTGCCTGAGCCTCCACCACTGAAGAGAAGCCCTTCAGCAGCCGGCTTCTTCCACACTCTGCCTGAAACGCATGAGTGAAGATGGACATAAGGACGTTTTTTAGACCAAAAGTACAACGACAGAACCCCAGCTCTGATGAGACTGGTGTTGACTCAGGTTTGTGAGTCTTATTTGAAAATATTTGTTGTGCTGCTGGTTTGCCTAAAGTTAGCTTACTATCAGGTAAAGCTGTTGGAGAAAGAAAGGGAATATTTACTATCATCTCACACTAAACACTAACAGGAACAACACTCTGCCCTGAATATGCTTAATATGTAGCTTCAGATTAAAATTTATGTGGTACAAGACATATATATATATATATATATATATATATATATATATATATATATATATATATATATATATATGATGTTGACTAGTGCGTGTCACGTGTGTGCGCGCGTGCTTGTGTGCGCGTGTGTGTTAAGCCCCGGATCTTCTTCAGTCCTAAATCCGCCCCTGCCTATGGACACGAAATGTCCAGTATATATGTCGATGCTCTCCACGCATCACTGACAAATGCCAACTGGCTCAACAGCCTGCCCTGGGTCATGCTCGGTCTCCGTTCTGTGGGGTATGTGGGGGACCACGAAGAGGCTACACTCACACCCAGGTCTCTTGACTGTTTGTATATAAATATTGTTGATGCCTCATGGCTTCCTGCGTCTAGCAGGATGCTTACTGTTTCTGTGTATTTAAATATGGTTGACACCTTGCCCAAGCAGGCTTGTATGTAAATGACTTGAGACTGCTTTTAACAACCAACACAGAGAAGAAAGACTCAGTGTTGAGATACTTAAAGCCGGGCGTACACTGTGCGACTTTTTCACTTTTTTGAGCCGATTTTCCACTCGTGCGAGAATCCAAGAGATCGGGGCGAGTTTTGCGCCGAGCGTCGTGTAGTGTACAGGGGGTTACGAGAGGCGATTAACACCACGTGACCAGCTACCGATCAGCAGTCGTGAGCTCGCACGGACGTCTGGCGTGTTTGGTATTTTGCTCGTCCCTCGTGAGGGTATCGCACTGTTGAAGCGGCGCTGCGAGCAGCTGCGACCCAAAAAGTATCAGAACCGCTCACGGCGCATGCGCAATCCTGCATCAACACCGCTCGCCCGCTATTTCCCTAATAACACACGTTGTTCGTTTTTATTTCTACACGTTTTTTTTACTCACAAAGATTGTCAAGAAAGCGTGTTTGTCGTGTTCGTGTCAAATTAAACTGATCACAAAACACAGATTTACTTTCTTTATTTCGTTTTCCTCATCCAACCCCCATAAATCCCTGTGTGTCCTGCAGCACTCCCGAAGGACAACAGGCAAGACAAAAAAGTCTGACGTGTTGAGTAAAAACTGCTATTTTTAGCATAGTTTTAGGGCCGACGTGTTTCTACCAGACGTACAGTGAGAGCAGTCAGGTCGCATCCGAGAACTGGGTCGTGCAGTGTGAGTGCATGACTCGTGAGATCTGCCCTGCGAGGAAGTCGTACAGTTTGAGCTGAAGCTGAGTGCTACGAGTGAAAAAGTCGCACAGTGTCCGCCCGGCTTTAGTTGTGAATGAAACCTACCTTTGTGTCGTCCTTGACTCCTCCACAAATATGTGACGTACCGATGTCTGGTTTGTAGTCATGATAATGACGAACTTTTACAAGCTGATAAATCTCATAGTACCTGACAGGCATGGTTGAAACACCCATCATTAGTTTTCATTTAAATTGCAGTACAACGTATGCAATCCAGGGCGTGAGGCAAAGCGGAGTAGAAAATAGCTCTTTTAGCCCATCGACATATACATATATTCCTTCTTCCGGGGACCCATGAGCTGACGGGAAAGGGAGGCGACTTAAGCTTGGTTTATGCTTGACGCATTTACTTTCCGCTTGGTGATGCGGCTCGCGGATGGAACGCTCTTCACAACTCGCAGCGTTTATGGTTCATGCGGCTTGTCTCTGCGGTGAGCCAATATTCTCCCAAACTGTAGGGGGCAGCATGGAGCTCTACGGCATGCATCCAACACTACACCATAGTAGAAGTAGAAATTACTGTTTACAACATGGCATTCCAGCATTTTTAACAGCGTTCTCGTCTTTTCCGGCAGTGTGAGCTATTTCTCTCCAAGAATTATTAACAACATGTTGATCACGGTGATCTCTGAGAGCTGAATCATACAAATGTCTGTATTTACGAACCTCTGCCATTCTAGTTCTTGCCGGTCCGCCATGTTTTTCCGCTTCCGTCCGTTCGCGTGGTTAGAAATTTTCCGAGGTGCGCGTTGCGGAAATTCTGGGCCGTGCGGAGGCGCGGTGGAGGGGCGTGGTTGTTAAAATGACGCAACTTTTCCGCGCGGAGCCGTGCGGACCTCGCGGACGCGTCAAGCATAAACCAGCCTTAAACCAACCTTTAGACTACCAACACACATTCAGTAAACCTCACCTTTAATGTATTTAACACTGTCATGGTTGTTCTGTGACAGGATATGCTTAGGAAAGGGTGGGAATAAATATAAAGGCAAGATTTCAAAACTACTGCTCGCTTTTGGTCTTCATGGTTGCTAAGGCCCTGGTCTACTTGATTAGCGTAGGCCGGATCCTACAAGGAGATTTGGACACAGCCTATTTACTCAGTACTTTGTATATTACAAACAAACTTGAAACTTGAGTAAGTCAAAGCCAGAGTCAAAGTTGTTATTGTTGTTATTTTA